ACATGGATTCGTCGTTTGCTGATGGGGTTGCACTCAAGCACGTTGCCCTTGTGGGAGCNTACTTCAACGTCGCAGGTGGGATCGACTGCTGTAGCGACCGAAGCCCCCATTCGTACTTGCCTGCAAGCAGCTACCGTTTCGATATCCGCGGCTGACCTTCGCAGCGTTCCCAAGCTGACTGGAGGCCGTGCCGGGAATGTGACAGAAATCTTGAAACATTTTCGTACGGTAGTTGGGCTGAAAGCCGCAGTTGTCAACATGGATTCGTCGTTTGCTGATGGGGTTGCACTCAAGCACGTTGCCCTTGTGGGAGCAGGAGGGGTGTTGACCCTCATACAGCAGATCTTGTCTGGACAGATAGACTGTTCTAAGGCAAGCACGTTCACAGAACCGGAGGAAAAAGGGTCGTTTCCCCCTCCGACCACGTGGGACGCCATGTGCTCTGTTTTGCTTGAGTCACTTCTTCCCGCAAATTCAGTTGAGGAGGAGGCACACAATCTCGCAACGTTCGCCCAAGGGCCACAGGAATCTGTTTCCTCGTATGCGCTCCGTTTCCGTACTGTCATGGCACGGTTCCAAGCTGCCGTCGAGCGTGATGGTAGTCGTACCGCTTGGAATTGCATGACAGTAGCTCTGTGGCAAAATGGGTTGACCCATCGTTATCGTTTGCTCTTTTAGAGCCAATCAATACCGTCTCCGTCCCTAAAACTCAGTGCCGCAAATGGCGCACCAGTCAAAGTTTTAGGATCCATTTCGTTCGTTGTTCGGTTGGGAGGCGTGTCCCGCCAAATCGATGCGTTGGTCGTACCATCGCTCGGTCCTGATCAAATACTCCTCGACATTGATGCAATGACTCGGTTTGGGGCAGTACTTGACTGGAAAAACGTTTGACTCTTGAGTGGCTAGTGACACTATCGTCCCCACTAACACGGTTCTGATCCGTCGCCGTCCCTCCGTGTTGCAGCCGTTCATCGAAATGCGGAAGAACACTCAGTCAAATTACGTCAACGTTATAATATTCGCCCTCGTCATGCGATGATCGTAAAAGCATTTACTGAATGCATACCGTCCGTTGATACCGCCGTAGTAGTCGAGCCGCGTATTTTGTCGGCAGATGAACTTTCGTTCGATACTGTTCCGCCCGAATTTGAGCGTTTAATCGTGGCTCGTACCGTCTCAACATGGAGTGCTGTTGATGGTTCGGTAGTTGTCCTAATTGCGAATCCATCATCTGAGTATCGCCGTACATGTTGGATTGGCTATTGGAACTTTATCGCCGAGGACTATGGCAGCACAGGAACAGCTTCACGTCCATACTGTTGCCTTGTCTCCAAAGACCGCGAGTGAAATCGCTGCTGCTAAAGCTGAGCTGGTAGAACCGCTGTCGAAAGCGTTCGCAAATTCCACGTTCACTAAGGAACAGCAGACTCGTATTTTGGACCTGTGCGCAAAATATCGTCCCGTTTTTTCGCTGAATCGTAAGGAGCTTGGTAAATGCACAACTGCTCAAGCCACGTTTCCTATGCCGCCTAACACAAAACCAGTCAACCGTCGTCCCTAACGCGCAAACCCGCACACTGAAGCCGTTATCCAAACGTGCGTTAAGGGCATGCTTGACGATGACATCATCGAAGAGCTGCCTAGTCAGTGGGGTTCCCCCGTTACTCTCGTCGCGCGTAAACATGGTAAACCTCGTTTTTGCGTCGATTTCCGAATCACCGTCAACAAGCACATCATTCGCAAGACCTGGCCTCTAGCGGACATGGAGTCCAACCTTGACTCTGTCGGCAGCGCCAACTTCATCAGCGTTGCAAACGTCCAGTCAGCGTACTGGCAGATTCCTGTTCATCCTGACCACGTCGAAAGGACAGCCTTTGTCACCAACTCTGGCAAGTACTGTTACAAGCGGATGCCGTTTGGTGTTTGTAATGCCCCATGGATTTTTACTGAGATGGCCCATAAACATTAGGCCATATTCCCGAATTGTTGATTTACATGGATGGTTTTTGTGTGCTTTCAGCAACTTTCGAGAATCATATGAAGTCTTTGGAGAGCATGTTCGTAGCTCTCCAAGCAGCAGGTCTGACATTGAAACCTTCGAAGATTTCGTTTGGCCCCAAGTCCATCGAGTATTTGGGACATATTATTTCGGCTGAAGGTATTTCTGTCGGGAAGGATCGTATCAAAGCCGTCCAAAACCTTCCTACTCCTCGTTGCCTGAAAGATCTTCGCTCAGTACTCGGGGTGGTTAATTTTGTGCGCCGGTTCATACCGGATTATGCAGAAATAACCAATCCGTTGGTGGAGTTAACTCGCAAAGAGTACGCCACAAAATCACGTTTCGTAAAAGCTTGGAACAAATCGCACGACGCATCGTTCGCTCATCTAAAGCGGTTATTAACTTCAGCGCCCGTTCTACACTTCCCAGACTTCGATCGGGAATTCGTAGTTCATGTGGATGCATCCGAACATGGGTGTGGCGCGTTTCTTGCCCAGCCGTCCAAGGCTGATCCAGAGTCTCTTGGCATGATTACGTATTATAGTCATAGATTCAAACATGGACAGCGTCATTACTCTGCGTCTATGAAAGAGTGTTGCGGTGTGGTTCTTGCAATTTCGCATTGGCGACCGTACTTATTTGGGAAACACTTTACGGTGATCACGGATCATCAAGCGTTGACTCATCTTTTTTATATGCAAGACACCAGCAACATGCTCACTCGTTGGGCTATCGCTCTTCAAAATTATGATTTTACCGTCAAACACGTAGCGGGAAAATTGAACGTCGTACCCGATACGTTATCTCGTTTATTTGGCGAAATTGAGTCCGAAACCATATCACACAAACCGGCCCTAGCGTCGATTTGTAGAAATGTGCCGAGTGATCGTCCGTACCATCCTCCTGGCCCTCGTGACTCAAAATTTCTGCCGATTCGTTGAACGATGTTGATATCGTCCATAATGACAACGAACTGTTTGCTAGTGCTGTATCGTTATCTCCTGTACTGGATTCCGCTAAATTGCGGAGAGAACAGTACTAAGAGTTCGGTCCGTATATCGACTACGTCAAGAAACCCAAACCAGCACCGTTACCGTCTAGCGAAAATAGAGGAACCATGAGTAATTACTTCTTGAATGAGAACGTTCTATTCAGGTCGTATTTACCAGGGTATCTTCGTAAACGCAGTTCGCTTTGTGATCAACTTGTCGTTCCCACCGTTTTGCGTGCGCTAGTCTTGGATTCTTGTCATGATGCTCCTGCGTCAGGGGGTCATCTAGCGTTCAAAGCCACGCACGATAGACTCAGAGATCGTTTTTGGTGGCCGGCCATGTCTAGAGATGCGTCCAAACACATCCAGCATTGTTTGTCGTGGCAACACCGAAAAACGTCCCACAGACGACCGTTATAACCTGTGGGTCACCGTCCCGTTACTCGTCCGTTTCAGTGTGTCGCGATCGATCTCGTTGAATATAGCTCCGTATCGCAGGGTTGCAAGTACGTCTTGTCGGTCATCGATCGCCTGAATCGTTTTCTCGTGTTGATTGCTATTCGTGATAAAAAAGCAACAACAATTGCACAGGCTCTCGTAGAGCGTGTCTTTTCCGTTTTTTCTCCCCCTGAAACGTTACCAAGTGATCAGGGCACTGAGTTCGAGAATGAGTTGGTTAAAGAGTGGCAGGCCGTGTTTGGTTTCAAAAAAACTCGGACGTCCGCGTATCGGCCGCAAGGTAACTCTGTATTAGAGCGCGTGCACAGCACAATGCATGGCATGCTCGCAATGTATGCAAACGTTCGGTTTGATAATTGGGCTGAGCTTTTACCGTTTGTGCAACTCGCCCATAACACCGCGTACAACCAAACTCTTGAGGAAACTCCTCACTATCTGATGTTTGGTCGCCAGGCTTTGCTTCCCGTGGATGTCATTCTTGGTGTACCGTCTCATGATAGCTCTGCTTCGCGTATGGAATATTCACGTCGTACCGTGGATAACTTGCAACTCGCGTATGAGATCGCTCGTCGTAATTTGAAAGAGCGAACTGACAAGCAAGCAGACTCGAACGAAAATTTATCCGTACCGCAGTTTACTCCTGGGGAACAAGTTCTCGTACATCGTCCCCACACCGTTATGGATGGCCCCAATCCCAAGCTGATCAGCCCTTGGCATGGCCCATTCACCGTTCGTTCAAAAGTATCACCCGTCATCTATCGTGTTTGCAAAGACGGAGAACTCGCGGAAACGTCAGTACACTTGGGTCGTATGAAAAATTACTATGCTTTTCAACGTGATTCTATCCCCGATTTTTCTGAATTGGATGAGATGTTTTTGGGACAAACCCTTCCAATTCCCGATTTGGATGGTACCGTGTTTACCGTAAAAATTGGACCGTACGTCGTCGAGGGGATAGACAAATTTAAACGTGGAGCAGGAAAACCGTCTCTCCATAACTTCCAATATTATTTCCTCCTCAAAGACCGTCCTGAAAGTCTTGGGTGTTGGAAGCACTTCAAAGAAGTACCCCAGTGTCACGAGATGATCCGTTCATATCGAGCGTGCGTTCTTCGTGATAATCCGCACGCCTTTGATCATCTTCCTAGAAAGTAGCACTCGTAGCTGCTTCGTATCGTGTTTCGTGCTGCGTTTGCCTTATTCGTTTCGTGTTTCGTATATTTTACAAGGAACAACATATTCGCCTGATTGAGAGCGAAGTATCTGATTGAGAGCGAGAGCCAAAAAAATTGAAATTTCGGGTCCAGACGCCTCTT